AGCAGGTTCCATCATCTCGAGGAGCTGCTGGGACGCTGAGGTAGACGGGATGGGGGACGAGAAATCAGTCCAATCGATGTGCACATTAAAGTCTCCAAGCAGGTAGATGTTGTGTATGATGAGCGCTGTTACACAAGTTTGTCGATGAAAATTTGGAGGGTTTCGAATACCAGTGTTTGTGAGTGAGGGGGAATGTAAATACAGGCTATGAGAAATTTGCTCCGGGAGTTCCAAAATTCTACGAAGATGGCCTCCAATGCGTCCTATTCGAGGTCATATCGGCGGCGGCAAGCAAGGTAGATGGGGCGAGCACCATCCCGCACGGGACGTCGAGCGATCTTTCCGCAACACCTGGTACCGGGTGGTGTCGACGATCTGGCCGTCGCATGTCGCCGAGTCCAGCCATGTTTCGGCGAGGGTGAACACAGTGTAGTCTGTTGATTCAAGTAAAGTGTTTAACTCTTATGTTGTTTTTCACTGATCTAACGTTGGAGTACCAAATTTTCAATTGCTCTGCATTCCTTCTCGTTAACGTAGTGGGGATGGTCGGGTTGGGTCTGTCCCCGGCTGTGGTTGGTGATGCGATCGTCGTTAGTGCAGGCTGCTTCGGCGCTTCGAACAGGCTGTCGTCGAACGATGGCAGCTGGCACATGCCGCAGTACCATGGTTCCGTGCAGTTCTACAGACGCCGATAGGTAGGCAGTGAGAGCTGCTCAAATTTTTTGTGGACCCAGATGTTGCACCCATCGCATTGTAACGCAGCCACGCTGTCGTAGAGCGGCCTGCAGCAGCGAGGACAAGTAGGACACGGTCCCGGGTTGAGCGGTAAATCACCAGCATAGAGCAGAATCAGGTATACCTGAGGTTGAAGGACGGAGGTCGGGCGGCAGTACGTCTTGGTGATACGCGTCCGGTTCTTCACCGGTGACGGATTGGGGCTGAAGCGGGTAGGCTTAGCTTATCCGCGAGTGAATGCCGCCACTGTGCTCCGCTCCAGACGATCGAAATTCGCTTGACAATGGGCACGTTGCGTCGCGAGGTGTTTGCGTGGAAAGAGCGCCGCAGGCGAAGAGTACCGAAGCGTGGAGAGCGCAAACCAAAACATAAACAAGCGCACACACTTCAAAACGTGACCGTTTGTCATGCGCCGGCACGCATTTAGGCACATGTTGCGCATTATATATTTAACGAAAAATATTCAAATTATATTCAAAAGAAAGCGATTAATTGGAGCTTTACGGTGATGTAAAGAAAACAAAAATATTTTGATTAGGTCACCCAGCACAGCTCGCTGAACTTCGTCAAAGATCGTCGCAGAAAGGCTGCTTGAAAAAATAAAAAAAAAGAAGAAACCTATCAAGGACTTTAGAACTTAGACGCCTAATTAGCATAAAAAAAGCATAAATCGAGAGTGTTCCGAAAAGGTTATATTGGTGTAGCGTAAAAAGTAGGGAAACGGAATGAAGTGAAATATGGCACCCCCGATAAGCTGGAAAAACGTCAGTTTCCACCTTTGCAGCTTCAATTTTCCATAACTTGAGAACGAAAAATCGGACGTACTCGCCGTTTGCGTCTACTTTTATTACAGGAATTTCCTGAGAACACGCTTTTTTTTACAAAAACTTAAAAAATGTACCCAACATTTTTGCCTGAGTAGAGGTGAAGTCACCCTTTTATAAATGTATAACGTACGGCCTATTCTCTTGTTTATATCCAGTTCCATTGGCAGATTTTATACAAAAAACATATTAAAAATATATTGTTCCTTTGACGCTTTCGTCACATATTTTGAGCCTTTCATGCTAGAGTTCATCACAAAAATTGCTTACAAAAGAGAACACCCCTGCAGTCCTATACATATGCTGGAGAAGTGTAGCCGGAACACGAGGTCTACATGTTGTATATGTTGTCTTATGGGCATCAAGAGCTGTTAGGTTCAAGTCGGAACACTCTTTGGGTGGGGAAATAATACAGAAAGCGCGGAAACATAGACAAGATGGAAGATAAATAAATAGTATATATCCATATACGAAACTGGGAAAACCAATATGCATCCCGACCCAAAGATTCTGACAAAACACACGGAGAGCCAATGCCGTCAGAACAGCGAGTGGGTAGGTGCAGACACTGCTTCGCAAGGGCGGCACGTTCTCATAACTTGCACCCATATATTTCGCCTCCACCACCTGCGATCGTCGCCCCTTCACATCCAAAACAACTGGGACACCACTGCCCTTAGCACTTTAAGGCTAAACCAGCTTGTAGTTGTAGTCAACATGCCAAGAGGCGTTCTTTTTGCAGACAGTCTTGTTTTTGACATATTCTACAGAGAGATATTTAGAAACGGTCCAGTACGAGATAATGTCGTAGTTAGATGAGACGAGCCTATTTTGCAGCTACGCGTATTCCTTCGGAGCTTGTGTCGCGTGTCCGCCGCTCGTTGTGCGTGGCTCCTGCCTCGTGTGTGGTGCGTGCGTTGGTGCACGTTGCTCTAACGTGTAGATGGGGTCGTTCACTTGTTTGCTACATAGCAAAGCCAACTGCGAAACTAGCATTTTGACGATTCTGGTGTGAGAGCGTATTTGATCTGTTACAAACATTCAGCAGAAAAGGGAAGTCCCATTAAAGGGGTTATGACACGCCAAAAATAAAAGATGAGATGGGAATGCTGCTATACTCCGTTTCCCTTTAAGTCCGAGCGCGGCGTACGCTGAGAAACGACAGCGCCAATCAAATAGCAGCAAAAGTGCAACGTCACAGAGTGCATCAGCGGGGGTCCCAATCAAGTGCAAAAAGTGCGCTTTTGTCGCTGCTTGGTTGGCCCTATCGTCTCGTAGCGTCCGCTGCCCTGGGATCTAAAGTGAAAGAGAGTATAGGACCCGTTGTATATTCCAATAATCTTGCAAAATTTGTTTTGAAAATGGCGCGTTAGATTCGTGGATGAATCGATTTATATGCGGGTCCCTCGGAAGGGCGAATCCGGGCGGAGCGGGAGGCTGGTGACGTAGCCTGCCTCCCGCGCGGCGTCCCTTGCACGCACTCAGACTTCGCTCTCCTGGCATCTCGAGCTTGAGCTTCCTCGTTTACCTTCCGCGTTTCGAGCATGCGGTCCATGACGATTATTTCTACGGCATTGATCGCAGCAGCGGTGACAGTGATTGGTACACAGAGATGTTGGAAGCTGTTAATTTTGACTGTGACGCGCTGGCGAACAGCTCCAGCGACGGCGAGTTACGGACGAACTCGCCGTGGTCACCGTCGTCCGGGAATACCTCGCAGGCGCATGCAGGGTGGAAGGTCAACGTGCCGGGGCGAGAACGAGAATAGCGTTCGAGTAATCGAGTTGCGTGAGCGGTTTTGATCGTACCGCGGCGAGGAGAGGTGGGGCGATCATGGGGGCGCCTAGAATGGGAGAGCGTTCATGGTCACGTGGTTTATGGACACCATGGTGTGACTAACTTGGGCAGTGTTGCCTGGTCGCCAGATGAAGATGATAAAAATTCGTAAATTGATAATTGCAATTACCTGAGCTCTAAAAATCGAGTAACTTGGTGTTTATACTAAGTAGTAAGTAGCCTATGAGCATTTCATTTCAAGAATAATCTATCCGTTTAATTTTCGTGTAAAAAACCCCTTTAAGCCAACAGAAAGTTGACATTATTAGGAATAATCGAAAATAATAATAATAAAATATAATTTAATAACAAATGTTTAAATTGTAACAAAACTGATTTTCTGGTGGAATTTAAATATGAATATAAAGTGATTAATCAAAATAAATAAAAAAAGATTGGTACCAATCGATGGCACGTGTAAAGGGCTGTATGTCTATAGTGTCTAGTTAGCAAAGTTAGTAATTAATCCTAAAATAAAAGGCTCAAAATACCTCGCCAAAAGGTACAAGGTGCGATGTTTGACATCTATTTTATTTATGACAAATTCTGTCAAAGCACTCTTGTGAAAAATGTAGGCCGCACATCATAGATTAACAAGAAATATTTTATTATGACAAATATTTGCTTAGCTTTTTTCAAAAAAACGACAAAACTGGTTACAGAAATTAGGCAGTAGAAATGCAGAATTTTCCCTTGCTCCCCTACAGAATTTTTTTGGAGAGAAATACATTTTATAAAGAAATAACTAAACAATTTATAGGCACATTCCCCTCGCACAGAAAATAAAGTACGAATAAAAAAAATGCCTTCGTGCTTTCTCTCTTCCCTCTCACTTTTTTATGTTTGCATTGTTTATCCTCTTGTTTACCATTATCTTTATGTACGGCAGCAGCTAGGTAGTGAATAAACTCCATCTTAAATTTACAGGGGCTATGAATAAAACCCACGCCTACAAACTATGTTTTACACAGTTGGATGTACCAAGGTCACTAGATCACGGATCGTATAATTTAGGCTGTATCAGAGTATCCATTTTGCGCTTTGTTTTATATCTGTGAATGCTGAACCGTAAAAACGGCGACGTCAAGGACAACCGCAATAACTTTGAGAACACCAAAATCAGTGAGGTTCAGACTAACGCCCGGCAAAAACATATTGAAATCGGTGCACTTTCAAACTACCACGTCAATATGTTTAAAGATATCATCAGTCCAACCTTAGCAGACAAAGACGAAACTGCTTCTCAATGGCCATGGCCGTAGTCATCCATTAAGAGGTGGCCAAGAAGGTCTCGAAACGCTGGGCCAATCATTATCACTTTGGTTGGGAGACCATTTTCGGTTAAAACTTGCCACGTTAATCAGATAAGAGTTTATTAATTATTACGCATAATTTTTGTTTAACCTAGACATACTTGTTTTTGTAGAAAAATGACAAAAGAAAAATGTAGGACTGTTGCATCCGCAAAGTGGACACGTTTTGATTAGACTTGAGAAATGTTTTCCTCCTCGAGGTTTATCTTTGTATTGCTATCGGGCTCAATCTGTTTGTTTGACGATCATTGGTGCTATTTGGTATCGAATTTTTATTTTTCATTCTATGCAGGTGTCTGCTGCTTCGCCACATGTTCTACCCTGGACAGATTGGCAAGGACACGGGATAAGCCAGAGAAAACGAGATAACATAAAAAAGGCCTACAAAAAGTTTATCAAAGATGTTATACTGTTAGTTCATCCGAAGCGTCCTAATGCAGAAACAATTGCTGCGGGCATCATGCACTTCGAAGAAAGCCTCGCGAAGGTAAGACGCTCGGAGTAATCTCACTTAGTAAGTCATGGGACATATATTCTGTATGCCTGCTGTAATGACCAACTAATACATCTAAATACTTGTGCAACTAATCGACCACCATCGATAATTTATTTTAAATAATTTATTCTTCTGTCCACCGCTTTGCCCATTTTCCGTCCCGCTTTTATTTCTTTCCATCTTTCCGCTGAACCCCTGGTAGATTACATGATCGTTGTGGAGGAGATTCTACGTCACGTACCGGAGGTTAGCGCGGAGCACGAATTGTACACGAGTTCTGCGTCATTGTTAAGCTGGGACTCGTGTCCAATTTAGGGAAGGACCCGAGTTCCAATCCGAGGCTGACGCAGCAGACGTGTCCGATTCGTACCCCGCGCTGACTTCCAGTAGGGGACGCAGAAACTCCGGCACTGCGGCCCCTTTTATTAAAGAAATGTGGCTCCGGTGCACCGTGCCAGGAGTCCTTTACGTCTTCGTGCACACTACCCCAGTTTTAACAGGACGTTACTAACGTCCTGTTAAAAAGGTGTCAAAGCTTATGCTTTGAGCGCAAGTATTAAAAAATACGACACTAGGCGACTTACCACCTCGTGAACGCGTTAAAAGGTAGCACAAGAAGCACCACCCACTGTTGAGGCGGCTAGCAAACGAGAACCAGCTGTGAAAATAACAAATGCATCGATACACAGCGGTGACGAACCTAAATATTGCAACATTTTCGGGTTTGTCTTATTTTTTTCTACCCACGTGTTTCTGCATTTTCGTTTTACAGTTTTCTTAAGAGTAAGGTATTTTTCATTTTTCTCGGCTTTCCATGATGCTATCAGCACTACAGCTTCAGAAAAATATTTCTGCCCTGCTCTTTCCCTGGCTTCTTTGTGAACATAATTAAAAATGTAAAACCAGGGCGGTGTGGTGTCCTAGCTGTGTTGGCTACCCACTAGATCTTTATTAATCGTCTTTGGTTAAGCTCATGCAACAATGTATAGTTGAGCTTGAGATCCACTACACTGTATGTCGAGGACGCTCTAGGTATCGGGTTGCACCTACCGAAATATGAAGCTTATGAAGCATGCTCAACTAGAAATATAATCATTTCTGCGTAAATCTTGCATGACGATTCATAGATTCAAAATGGCGGTCAGATGATACATATGATTCAAAATTTTGTTTATAATAATTAGGGTTCAGTGTTTTCAATATTTAGCCATAAATTTCGAAAAGTAGCCTCCAACTTCGATTTATCAAAATCTAGAAAATGCTGGCTTCAGGGAAAAAAACTTCTTTTTGCAACTTTATATTGTGCTAAGCAGGAACACGATGCACACTGAACTGTCTACAAGGCCATTTCGTTCTTTTGTAACAACATTCCTTGTCCCGTTTTGTTTAACAAGCATTCGAACCACGCCTATGTTCCCCGACGGTTAAAAAATCCTACGTTTCTGCCATCGTTTTTTTTGTATAACTAAAACCGAAAACCGCCGATTCTGAGGGAAGAAATAAACCACCCTTAAACCCACACTATAATTTAAAGTAGTATAAATCCCAAAAGTCTTAAAGATTTGTTATCGTCAAAGTGTGGGGGTTCTTCATATATCTCACTAATTTGATGCTGATTAGAAATAGTAATGCAAAAGATTGGTTGATAATACATTTAGTGAAAGACCAAAAAGAGGAGAGGAATTTGAAAGTCTTCGGTCACTACGAAGCCTGGAAGACGGCTTGAGAGTGCAGATGTGGGTCTCTACATCCGTGTGATGAACGCAGTCTAAGTCCATGTTGAATGTACCTGAGACTGGGACAGAAATTAACATATAAGTCTTTCGACTTATATGTTCATTTTTGACCCAGCCTCAGGTTTATTTAATATGGTTAACATTCACCAGCTCGCCTGCACTTTTACTATATTATTGCAGTCTAAGAGTTCGCAAATTATGCCTTTTTCAAATTCGATAGCCAAAAGTTCGAAACTGTTTTAGGGCCTTTGCGCGAGGCTTAGTCAGTGAGCATTTCTAGAAACTTACATGCCACCAGGGCCCGTTTGAAAGAAACGATGTTGTAATGGAGCTATATTTGGCTAAGTAAGTATTTTTCAGCAACAGCTGCTAGTGGGAACCCTCCAGGGAAATAACATGGTCGTCCTTCCCAAAAACTCCCTGTTCGAAGCAGCGACCTATGAATGACAGCCGTTTTTTTCGACTGTCTATCGCTCTACGAACTGAGCTATCGATCGGACATTCCTTTGAAAAAGGGCGGTTTTATATAAATATAATTTCCTTCGTTCTTTAATAATGTCTCGGCCATCGGCGCCTCGTGAGCCTCGTGCGTACACGCAACGCAAATGACGAAAAAATGCCACGAGCGAATTCTGGGGGCCCCGCAATTGAAAGAGAATCCTTGACGTATATACCCCTTTCACTTAAAGTGCAGTCAATGTTAGAAGCACCATATCACAAGGCATCGGCTTTGAGACATTCGTTTGCAGAACAAGCTCAAGCGTAAACGCTATGTAGTATGAAATCCAGGAGAGCGGGCTAGCTCGCTCTTGTATCTTACACTCTTATCTTAGCTTAAGGGTGAACAGAGCATATATGACTAGGCACTGAGAAAGAGAAGAACATTAGAACGCATGGGGACATCAAAGGACCTAATTATGCTTGAAACGATTGGTAGATAGACTCAAACCTAGCTGGCTTTGTCTCTACCCAAAGTCAGAAAGCGAACGCGTTCGACGTTCGAGCGCGTCTGAAGAGTGATCAGAGATAAAGGCAGGTAGCTTTGCGTCTCCCACCTAATTATTCGAACCATAGCTCGGTGTTTTGATGTCCCCGCGCGCTCGTGTCTCCACCTCTGCTTTAGTTTCAACTTGTATAGAAGCTGTTGGCTGAAGTCGACACCCCGTTGTGCCGGCGCCGGCCCACGGCCACCCGATCAGACGAACTTGCACGCCGTACTGCTAGACCTCAGGAAGCCCGTAGCAGGTCTGAAGAACACACATTTCAGTTACGGTGCTCTGATGCAATACCACCTAAAAGACAAGGACTCCCCCCAAGCGTCATCATTAGTGAATCTATGCAGCGTCGCCTAGGTCGCTCCAGCAACGCCACCAGCGCGCGCTGGAGCATAGCCTCCTCTATACTCACAAAGCCTGGCAGTTCGACGACGGAGCCATAGAGTGCTCAGTTGAAGATTGGGAGCGCGAGGATCTGGTAGCACAGGGCATCAATGTGCCATTTTTGGGGGAACCTGGACGTCAGCGCACAGCGTTTGCAGCGGCGAAAACCCGAAACACACTTGTTCGCAAGGGAGAAGTGTATTTCGGCGTCTCGCCGCAGCAGGGCACCAGTCACGTGAATCGCCTCTCACCCGTTGTCTGCTGCTCCATCTTTCCCATTTCGGCGGCCACTTCTCGTGGCGTTCTGCCAGGCTTTGCCAGTATACGGGAGGCTGTGGCTGTAGCATCTCAAACGAGCACGACGCTAGCACGCGGCAGCGCCAAGACGGACGCGTCTGCCTGTTTGCAGCGGCCCTCGTAGAGCTTTAGCTTGTCTGCCGTTTGAGGCAGGTCAGGGATCCACTAACGATCACATCATGCACAGGCCTTGTGTGCTAGGTGGTACTGGCTGAAGAAGCACGTCATAGATGAAGCAGGGATGAGATCATGAAGGAATTTTAAAACTCGACCCAACCCGGCCTGATAAGTCTCGACCCGAACCCGGCCCGAGCCCGACTATGGTTAATGGACGTTTGCCCGAACCCAACCCGACCAATCAATATTTCGACCTGAACCCTGCTCGATCCCGAGAGCTATTTTGAACATGACTCCGACCCGAATCCGCTCCGAAGCCCCTATTTTTTTTTTTTTTTAACAAAGAGTGCTTTTTGGCTGGCTGGCTCCTAACATTTCTTGAAAATGCGTAAATGAAAAGGCTGATTAAAAGCGAGGAATCAATTATTGGTGATCAACCTGGTACCCATTCGATGTGATTCTGAAGCTGAGAAAAATGAAGCAAGATGTTGATATCAGGTTAATTGCGATTTAGAAGAAGATTGACGAACACGTGGACGAGAGCGGGTCCTTTTTTAGTTTTCAGCGATTGTTCGGAGCAACACACAAAACAATTTGCGTTAGTACCACTGTCTTAGCCATCATAGGTGCGAAGACTAAAATACCTGACCGCTAATTAAGAGACCCAAAGTTTGAATCCTGACGCTAAAAAAAATATTTCCTTTTTCGACGGCTTCGTAATAATCGTTCCTCTTGCCAAGATTCACAGCGAACCAATTTTTTTTTCGCTTAGCATTATAACCCGTTTCAACAAAAACGATGCCCTATTTTACCTCGATTGGGGTGCCATGTCTAGAATAATTGTGTCAATACAGAAAGTCAGGCTTAATATACGAAACTTCAAAACTGATTTAATTAAACAAGTACGCACACAGTAATTTCTTTTACGTGTAAATTAATTTTAGGAAAAGAGAAATTTGTAAATGCAGAAAAGCTTAGTTGGCGTTGCTTGGTATTTAGTAACATAATAAGAATAACATTCTTATTTTATATTTACAACTCTGGAGGCCGAGAAAAAAAGAGCCGCACGAAACGGCTTGACGGGCTGTCGGCTCCCGAATTGCAATTCCGCGAATAAAATCTAGAACACGAGCTTTGTTGAATGGAAATCGAAATTCAGCTCGTGACAAGAAATCACATACTGAGTTAAATGTATTGCAGTGAATGGAACGTGCCACATATGTTTGCCAGCATTTTTGGCATCGAAGTGGGCATTTTCTGCGTTGTAACTTGCGCTCGCTTACAGCTACTGTTTGCATGGTCACAGATGTTATGAGGGGGTATACCACAGTTCCTAATATCAAACTTCTAGATATAGTAAGACTGGGTTGTTTGTTCTCGACACTTAAATCCCGTCCCGTCTTGAGCCCGACGCAGCTTGTTATATGTAAGCCCGAACCCGACCCGAGCCTGAACAGGGCGC